CAGGGGGTGGCAGTGTTTGCAAAAAACCTTCCTTTTGCCTTCTCCTTCCAGTTGCTGCTGGCTCTGGGGGACACTGCCATCAGACCTTGGGGCGCAGGCAAGGCTGGCACCTCTGCTAGTCTTAATTATCTTAACAGACCCCGGAAAAGGAGTGTGTGTATGTGTAAAATAAACCAGAAGTTATGAATTCATCTCTTTATAACTTAACTTCCACAATTAAACATGTGGAAGTCTATTAATAAAGTGTAATGAATAGTTAAAATTTTCATTTAGAACTTAATTCTATGGCTCCTAGATAATCCCAGCTGCACAACAACAGAAGAAAATTGCTACTTGCCTATTCTGTGTTAACAGGAGGAGGAAAAAGCCCCTTAAATCAGAGATTACATGGAAGCAGGAGGACTCCCCCATACACCTCCAGCCTTATAAACAGACCAACCATTAGCTCTAAAGATTTGTCTCCCATCTCAGAGCCCATTAACTTATTCAGCTGTTGTCAAAGTTCTTGACGGAAGATAATTGTTAATTGTTGCCTCTGCATCTGTCCAGACTCTTTTAATTAAACAAATAATAATTGGGATCCCTCACTATCATCCTTACAACGGGGTTTTATCTTCTTTTCTCAGATGCCGTCCTTGTGGGGATGTAAAGCTCTACGCAGAAATCAGCCAGGCTTCAGATGCCCTTGACATGGAAGTTTTATTTGCTGACGGAGAGAAAATTGGGGCACAGGAGCTTTTTTTTTTTTTTTTTTCCATGGTGCTGACAGAGAGACATAACAGTGGCTGAGGTGGAGGAGGACTGGGGGTACTTGCTGGCGCTGACTGTCTGAGCTGAAGTTTCCCGTTGCAAGTCTCAAAGGCAACTGGAGGCACCTTGGGGAATGTAAACAAGGCGTTCTCCTGCCAGCGCCCAACCTCCTGCAGTATAAACACCACCTCGGAGAGTATCCTCCTGAAAAGAGAGCTGCGGGGTTTTCCAGCCAATGAAAGGTACAAGGAATAAAATTGCCTGAGAGTTGGACTTGCTCTTCTTACAATTTGAGGGAGTTTTTGTTAGAGGGAAAACGATTTTGGTCACACAGGAGGCATTTTTTAATGCTCTCTATCAATACCCGTCTCCTTTTCTGTCCTCGATTTATGCTGCACACACACACACACAAAAGAAAATTCAGTGTAAAACTTTAGAAACCTCATGAGAAAGTTAAATTTTACACCCCAGGCCATAGTTAGGAAGTCCCAACACGCATGCACACAGGTTTGTAAGGTGCAGACCTTAGTCTGTGAGAGAAGCAACACGGTTTGTCCTGCAGACACCTGGCCAGCGAGCGCTGGAGCCGGGCTAGGATTTGTTTGCAGGTTGAGATGATTTTGGCTAGAGCCGTTGAAATAAAATTTAAGTTCATGCATCCTTTCCTTTCCACTTCCCTGGGATATTTATTGGGGCAGACCAGAGAAAAAGAAAACCCTTTGACTGAGAGAGAAAGCCTGACCTGCAGACCACGTTGCTCAAGTGCTTTTGAGCTGCAAGTGGGGATGAAGGAACGGAGGCAATGAGTAAAGAGAGAGAGAGAGAGCACAGTCCTGAGTTCATCTTTAGCAATTAAATGCAGAGAGGATGAGAAAGAAAGAGATAGGTCTAATATAGAAATGGGCTACCAATGTATAGAAACATTCCTGTAGCCAGCACGGTCCACAAGACCATGGTTTCTTTGAGCAAATCTGCTGCTGATCCCTTGCACAACTTCAGAAAACACTTCCCTTTTGGTGTCCACCCGGGCTCACCCCCCCGTGCAATGTAAATGACATTTAACTTTTGATGATTAACATCTGCCAAAAAAGATATTTAGCCCCTCAGATTAAAGCTACTACGGAACAGCAAGGTTTTGCAGAAGACTCTCTCAACACAAGGGCTGAATTCTGCATGATTTATGTGTGAACACGACTCTGGGTGTTTGCTGGGTGCTGTATTAGTGTGTTTTGAGCTCCGTGCGCTCGCGTGGCCTGGGGGAGCAGGGAAAACGCCGGTGTCTGGGGCAGAGAAGGTGCCCAGCGTCTCATTTTGCTCTCCAAGATGCAGCAGGACAAGCTCTGGTGTATTGTAACTTATGTAATTTGCTTGATGGGACATTTTTAAAGCTCCCTCTGCCTGTTTGTGCAGTTGTATTGCTCTCCCTTTGCAGAGTAATCCTAATTATGCTCCTCCCGCTGTGAGGATGGTGCAAGTTCTAAGAATCACAGCGAACATCTCAGCCAGGCCTTGAAAAGCTGGAGGAGACCAGACTACTCTCCTAACTCAGGAGACACAAAATAAATGGAAAATAAAAAAAAAAAAAGGCAACTCAAGCCCCAAGGCCCTGCTGGGGATGTTGGCCACTGTCGGAGCGCTGCGGCACTGATGGAATAAGCCAGGAACACAGATTTAATTGGATCTCTCCAGGTCTCCCTCTCCCCATCCGCAGAAAAATCTTTCCATTTTGTCAAGATTTTGCACAAAATCCTTCATGGAAGTTCAAGAGGTTGAAAGGCCCTTGTCCCACCAGTATCCTCCAGCCAAGCAGGTTGGGAACGTTCGTTACCAAAGCAGCGAGAAGTTAAATTTGCTGTTGTATCCCCCCACCACCACCCACCCACCCAGCAAACACTAACCAGGTACGAGACAGCCCAGAGCTCCCCACCACGGCTGCCCATCGATCCAGGCACCGGGAGGTGGAAAAACTTGACCCAGTTATTTCACGGGGACGTTGTACTGGTTTTAGCTTCTAGGAATTGATTCTGAAGGAAAACCAGCTCCCCCGGGGTTGTTTTCTCCTGAAGAAGTCTCTCGTTGCCTGCGTGGTCCTGCTTCAACTGCGGCGCGGCCGAGACGCCACCATCTTTAAGACCGAGCTTCTCACCCAGATATGACTAAGCCCTTTCAAAACGAGAAACCCTCGGGATTTTTTTTTCGTGCTTAATTGTTAAAACAGGTTAATTTTGAACATAACCAAGCGGAAGCGAGGAGGTGACACACCTAGCTGGTTCCTGCTCGGGCTGGTGATTCACTTGGAATTGAGGGGTCACGTTTGTTGTTGATGATTTTCCACTGAGTGGCTGCGGCGCTGCCCTCCTGGCTGCCGGGGAGGCGAAGGGCCACGTTCCCCACAGCCTTCCCCGAGCACTGGCACTTCAGGAGTTGATGCCATCCTAAAAGAAGAACACAACCGACGCCAACCAGCGAGTGTCACCTTCAAACCTGGAGTTTTAGCCACCAGGCATCACCTCGAGGGCCCCACACCCACTGCCCCCGAAAATTAGCACCTGCATCTTTCCCAAATCGTTCATTTCCCCCATAAATGTAGCTCATCAATCAGTTCAAAACTCCCGCTGGTTTTTTTCGGTCGCTCCGGTTGCACCCACGTGATGTTCCGGAAAGTCAGTAGCGGAGCCAAGGAATTAGGGTGGCCCCCCCCCCCTTTCACACACACACACACACACACACGCCTCCAGTGGTTTTATTAGAGCCTTATCAGATTTCCTGGTGACTCAGACCACACTGGTGACCGGGGCGAAGGGCACGGCGGTACCAGTGGGCACAGATGGGGTTACAGCACCCAGAGGAACCCCCATTTCCCAACCAGCTCCTTCCCAGCTCTGCGAATCCCACCACCCCAGAGCTCTCCCCCAGGAGGGAGGTGGCCACTTTGCTCTCCCCAACGGGCCCAGGGTGCCCCGCCAGCAGCCCTGGTTGCCCCCCCCAGGATGTGTACCCACAGTCTCCTTGCCACCCCCACGCTGCTGAGCACAGGGTCACCCCACTGCACACCCCCCCCAGCAGCAGCCACCCACCAGACCAGCCTGCAAAACCCATTTATTTTGCACC